GATGTTTGTGCGTGTCATTTCCTCTTCAGATGCGCTCTTTGTATGCTACATGGGTGGCTAGCCTCTCCTAATAACCATTCCCACTCTTGAAATCAAATTTCGGCTCTATATTTGATGGTGTAATTGATCTCCTTAGGAGCTCGACTACAATAACTTATTGACTAGGAAAATTACCAAAAAAGTCGTAAACCTATTGTGTTTGTACTAATTTAGTAATAAATCTTTTAATTGTGCCAATTTATTTTGGCCGGAAATCGCTAAGTGGACGCCGCTATCCGATGTGGCATGACCCGCGCTGACGTGGACAATACAGTTTTTTAAATTATTTTTTGAATTTTTATTATATTTTTTCTTTTTCTTTCTTTTTTTTCCTTCTTCCTTCGCCGGTCGCCGAGCCTCATTGATGGCCGACAACCAACAAGGTTGCCCTCGTCGGCCTCAAGTGAGCCTCGCCCAAGTGTTTGTCCTTGTAATCGATTTGATTTCCATCAAACTTAGTGAATCGCTTTTTGACTCGACTAACATCAGTTCGGCTATTAGTTGATGGACGAAAATTGTTCCTCCCTTGTGGACTTAATCTTATTAGCTTCTCACGATGAATGCTATTACTTGACTTTCGACTCTATTTCAGATCATATGTGATGGTCAACATACTATTTACTCCGTCCTTGTTGACAACAACATGCTCTATTAAACCAATGAAATGTCACCGACTTTGTTTAATCAATGACTCTGCTTTATTACTATGGCCCGACTTAAGAAATTCCTTTTCGTCCCAATGGTTCTAGCACTTTCTCATCAACAATTTCTCCACTTATTATTGTATCAAAGTTATAGTCGATGTACAGTCAATGACGTTAACTCTTATTAGACATTGCTAACCTAACAGCATGTTACTTCTCATCAGTAATGGTACAATTTGGATCACATGTTTCATTTTTCATGAATTGAGCAACTGGAAGGAAAAAATTGTTGAGAGAGAGCTTTTGTTTTTATTTGAAGATATAAATATAGTCATATTATTTCCAAATAAAAAACTCTATGAGAAATTGAAACACCAATATTAAAGATTGAATATCGCTCTAAAATAAGCAAGATAATGATATTTAGGAATTAATCGATAAAGTAAAGTAATTATCCTATCCATGGATAATATATACTATTGACTTTCAATTAGTGTTTTATGAATTATTAACATACACAACAACATAAATTCTTTCATTTTAACATCGTAGTACAAATTAGTCTCTCTTCGCCATGGTTAGAAGTATTTGGGGCACTAGGAAATTTAGGTAAAATTGGAAGTTGTGGATGTTTCGAACACAAAAGAGAATCTTAAGGCGATACCCATCCAGGAAGAAAGAGCTCCAAGAAATTTCAATGCAAAACACGAGCAACGGAAACAATTAAATTTAAAAATAGAAGTTAAAGACGAGCGCGGTTCTTGAAATGTCCCACATTCCGCAATACATGTCTTCCGCACATTGGTATGTTAATGCTGAGAGGTAGGGGTGTCAGAACCGAACCGAAAAACCGAATCGAGATACGAATCGAACCGAACCGAACCAAAAATTTATGCATTTTCGATTCGGTTCGATTCAGTTCGGTTTCGGTTCGGATAATAAGTAAATGAATTTGGTTAGCATCACGGTTCGGTTCCGCTCGGTTGAAATTGGATCGAATTTCGGTTTTTTGATGTGTTTTTCTTCCCTTCGCGCGCTCTCTCCTCAATCTCACTGTTCACTACTGCTCACCTCACTCACTTTTCTCTCTCTTTTTCGCTTTTTTACGGTGCACATGAATATCATTCTGTGCCCGGGAACTATTTCTGAACAGAAATGATTTTTTTTTTATTCTGTGTCCGGAAACAATTTCTGAGTATTTGAAGGCGTTTGATAAACTGTCCAAAATTTCTATTCCTAGAGTAGAAAAGAATAGAAATGCATTTGGTAACTGCACAAAATTTCTGTTCCCAAATAATATTTTAATAATATTTTGAATTGTTTAATTTTTTTTTTCTTTCTACCCATTTTCTTCTTTGGCCATGGCCGGTCGCCGGCGACCGGCGGTCGGCAACCGGCCACAGCCCAGGGCCGGCGAGGGCGTCACGGCCCTCGTCGGCCGGCGGCGGAGGCGAGGTCGCCCTCGCCGGCGAGGGCGAGGCGGACCCTCAACTCCTAGGCGAGGCCGAGCCTCGCCGTCGCGACCCACGGTGAAGCCGAGGCCGAGCCTCGCCGTCGCGACCCAAGGCGAGGTCGGCTTTGCCGTGGGTCGCGACGGCGAGGCTCGGCCTCGCCCGGAGATCGGCCATTTGTGGGTTGCGGCGGCGAGGCTCGGCCTCGCCAGATCCGGGAGAGGCCGAGCCTCGCCGTCTCGGGCGAGGGTCCGCCCTCGCCCTCGCCGGCGAGGGCGACCCTCGCCTCCGCCGGGCCTGGCGAGGGCCGTGACGCCCTCGCCGGCCCTGGGCTGTGGCCGGTCGCCGACGGCCGGCCCAGCCCAGGGAAGAACAACACAAAAATAAGAAAAGAAAAAAAAGAAAAAGAAGAAAAAAAACTGATTCTCAAAATTGGGCCGAGAAACAAGAAGCAACTTTTTTTTACTTCTTGTTTCTCTTCCAAAACTGTTTCTCGGCACAAATTTTTGCAAAAATGTGCCCAGGAACAAAAAGTTTACCAAACGCATTTCTGTTCCCAAACTATTTCTGGGAACAAAAGAACAGAAATTTTCACTGTTTGACACGTTGCCAAACAGGCCCTTACTTTATTCTCTCTCCTTCCGATGTCTTCGCACTCTCACTGCTCTCCTCTCTCTCTCTCTCTTTCCTGCTTTATTCTCTCCCTTCCTCTTCCCTCACAACGTTATCATCTCCCAAAAAGTGACGAAACACATTTTTCTCTTTGGCTTCTTGAAGTTGGGCCAGGTGCTGCGCTTGAGGTGCTCGGAGGCGGTCCGCGACGGGTTGGAGGCGGAGAAGACGGCCTTGCAGAGGGAGTGCCGGAGCTTCACGGCCTTGGCGAGGCTGGTGTCGGCGTTGTGGACGAGCATGGGCTCGAGGTGCGCCCAATACCACGCGCCCTTCCCTTGACGGCCTTTGTCCGTAGCATGACGAGCCCCTTGTAGCGCTTGTTCACGGCCTCGGCCGTCAGCTCGTCGACCGATGCCAACATCGAGACCGAGTCCCACCTGGGCCGGCGACGGCGGCTCCGAGGTGTTGGTGGTGGCCGCCATTAACCAAACGGGTCGTCCGAGTCCATCCTCGCTTTTTTGTTGTTAGAGCGGGTTCAGTTGCCGGAAGTTCGGTCTCCTACGAGTATCCATGGTCGGCTCCGGTGATCTGGTGGGACCTTTCGGTGGTGGGTCATCAATTGACCTGCTTCTTGACGGGAAGAAGAAAGAAGAAGCAGTCTCACAGAGAAGGGAAGGGAGAGAGCGGAAGAAGAAGACGAGGAGGAGAAGGAAGGGAAGAAGTGCAAAAAAAGGTAAAAAAAGGAAAACAGAAAACCGAACCGAACTCATCCGAACCGAACCACATTTTCGGTTCGGATCATATTCGGTTCGTGTGGTGTTTCAGTTTGGATCAAGCACACTTCTAAACAGTTCGGTTTGGTTCGGTTTTCGTAGAAACCCAAACCGAACCGAACCATTGACACCCCAACTGAGAGGCCCAGTTTGAAACATGAAAGGAAATCGAAATCGGATCTGAATTGCACAAAATCTTTGGATTAAAGCCAAATTCTACCTCTTTTGTGTATACATCCACCCTCATTAGTCAGATTTTACGTGACACTCCTAATTCGGTTTGCACTTGAGAGGGGATATTATTGAGATATGCTACATCGTTTAACAATAGGCCTATATAATATTTATGATCATATGATCTCCCTTCACTGATCAATTAAAGCTTTCAAATGGACTTTTTTACGGCGGTTGCACCACAAAACTTTCCTCCCCTATCTCGATGCCATTCGGAATTCACCAGCTCACTTTGATCCCGCGATCTCTACTACACAAATTGAAAATGCGCTTAAACATTGCAAACCAAGTGCTCAAGCAGTAAACTCCCTGTTGCTAGCGCAATGTTGTGATGTCCTCTATCACTTGTGCAAGAAAATTAGGTTATCTATACACGTCAAGGATAGTAACAAGATAATCAAAATGGCATTCGTTTTTTTTGCATTGGACAACCTAATCTGCATCTACAGACTCTTTTCGAATAAAATTTGAAAAGAATTGCCTGTCGTTAGCCTAGGTCAGTGGGCGAAAACATCGAAGGAAATTGCGATGCGCAAGCAACGAAAAGAAACAAATGCAAAATAAAAGACGAGTGCTGTCGGGGCATACATCAGACAAGTGGCCAAAATTCGTAGATACATACAAGCGTCCGGATCGAGATGATGGCAACATTTCGTTCAGCGCTTTGATCAAGTCGATGAAATCACATTACTGAAGCTCGTCATGTCACTAAATAAGATGTCTCCAGCGAATTTACATCAGGCTCATCATGAGCTAAAAAAGCTTTGTAACAACCATCACTCCATCTGAAGATGCAAGTTCTTACCAGAGCACAACCATCTTGACGAGCTCAGGTAGGCCACAACCTCTTACGTTATTGAATCGTGTCTTATTCTTTATCGTATACATAAAAATAGAAAAGGAAAAAGTGCATTTGATATCACGAAAGTGCAATTGAATTCTAAAATTTTCAAAAAGTTTAATTAAGTCTTAAAACTTGTTACGAAAATATAATTGAGCCCTAAAACTTTCAAGTAGTGAAATCAAGTCCTAAAACTTATCAATTTGGTCCAATTAAGTCTTTCCGTGGATTGCACATTTTGAAAGTTTAAGACTCGATTGTACTTTCGTGATAATTTTTAAGACTTAATTGCGATTTTTCAAACTTTTAAGATTCGATTGCACTTTCATGACCAGTTTTAAGATTTCCAATGCAACTTATCTCAGAAGAAAAGAAAGCAAGCAAAAAAAACACCAACATTGTCAAATTGAAGAGCCAAAACTCCCAACCCTTCAACCAAAAAACTAACATTCAAGATTCAACAGAATCAGCACTCACCCATTTCCAGTAGTGCCTCTTCACAGAAACCGCCCTGTTCGCAACGCCTGCATGACCGCTACCTTCATACTCCTCTTCTTCCACCGTACAGAACTCTGAGTCCTCCGGCAGTCCCTCGACCTCCACCTCGAACGAGTGGAATATGTAACGCGTCGGCAATCCCGGATAAGAAATTGAATTCTTCTCATCTACTTTCATCTTATATGATCCCGGAACAATCCTCACGACATCCCCAATATTCCCAACCTCCACTCGTATAACCGATCCCAATTCTTCCCTCACGGCCCTGATCACGGCCATCTCGGGTGTCTCGCTTGGCTTCATCTTCTCCGACAAGAGCATGCACCGATGGTGGACACTGCCATCGGATAGTTCCTGGCGTGACTCGATGAGAACCTGACCGTCAGCCACGATGACACGGAGCGAGACAACATTGATGGTGCGGACCGGGGGAACGGAGTTGGTAAGTGAGGTCTCGCCCTCGGAGATCTCGAGCCAGAGGTTGTGGACATTCTTGGTGCCGGGCTCGACGCCCCAGGAGGCGAAGGAGTCAGAGGGGAGACGTGGCTTGAGCCAGTCGGAGAGGGACTCGGGGGAGGTGAAGCGGGGGTGGATCTCAGGGCTTGGGCGAGACATGGTGGGGAGGGGATGCCGAGGAACCGCCAAGTCTTGACTAAATATCAACAAGAACCATGATTGCCGAGACTTGTGATATCAAAAGAAGAAATATCAGAACACGAGACGTTCTCTTAAATCTGATCTAATGGTCGAGCTGGACATATAATATATAGCGACATTCATCTTTGGTTAAATTATTCTTCTCCTCAATCAGATGTCCATTGATGAACCACTAACTTGTTGACCCAGAGCCGGTGAGCATGCGTTTAGTCATGGCCCACTTCTGGACCTCTTGCCCTCAAAGAAAATGCATGCGATGCTGCTGACCCGAAAAATAGGGGTCAACTGTATTTCATGAGAAGCTTTCATTATTTCTTATTTCATGGGAAAGAGTCGAAGAGCTCCATCCGTTTTTTTATCATTCGGGAGAAATTTTGTAATTAATGGAGTTGCGGATCAATGGGAAAACTTATCGTTGTCTTCCCCACCTCCACGTGTTTTCTCATATGCAAGCACATGATTGCTCCACATACCCTGCCCCTGTTAACTTCTTTTCATTTTTACGCTGACCTATTTTCATTAACCTTTACTAATAGGTAGACACTATGGTTTATCGTATGAAAATCTGGTTTTTTCTTCAAATTTATATATATTTTTTGGTCACAAGGTAGTAAGGCTCCGTTTGTTTCTCGAAAAATGTTTTCCAAGAACACATTTTCCACGTGTTTGGATCGCTTAGAAAATGAATTGACGAAAAATCTATGCTTAAATTCAGGAAAATGACTGTCTTATTTAACAAATCGGAAATCATTTTCTAAAATTTAACTAGAAATTGGTGCTTGAACCAAAAACTCTACGCTTGGGTATGGGAACCTCAACGCTAGTTCTCGGGTCCTGGCCTTGCTCCATTAAGGTCAAGCCCGCAACCCTGTTGCCAATGCCCGGATCCCTGGCGCTCCTCCTATGTCCATCAAGGCAAGGCTCGAGGCCCTGGTGCCCATGCCCGATACCCCGGCACTAGGGACCAGGTCCACAAAGGCCAAGTGCGGGATCCCGGTACCAGTGTCGGGATCCCTAGCACTCGGGCTCGGGTCCACAAAGGCCATGCCCGGGTTCCCCTTACTTGGGCTCAAGTGCCTAGTGCCCGAGTCAGTGTCTATTGAGGCCGAGGCTTGGGACTCTTGTGCCTGAGCCAATGTCTATCGGGCGCAAGGCTCGGGACGCTTGAGCTCACACCACGATCCATCAAGGTCGGGCTTGGGACCCTGGCGCCAAGTCCATCGAGGTTGGCCCGAACCCCGGTGCTAGGCCTGAGCCTAGCCCTAATGGACCAAGGCTCGAGTGTCGAGGACTCAAGCTTGAGCGCCGGGAACTTGGTCAGGGGCACCGGGTTCTTGAGCCCGAGCACTAAGGCCCCCCACTCCACCTTCGTGGACTCAAGCCAGCCTTTCTGGCTCAGGTGCTAGGATCCAGGATCCGGGCATGGGCACTGGGTCCTCGCGCCTGGCCTCTATGGACTCAAGCTAGGGAACTAGGGGGTCAGGCACAGGCCTTGGGCTCTTGGGGCAGGCTTTTGTGGACAGAGACACGGGTGCTTGTGTTCGGGTCTCTAACACCCAAATCAGGGTCCATTGAGGCCAGACTCAAGAACTTGGTGCAAGTCATTAACATCCGAATAGTATATGTCAATTTAGGAAAATCAAATCCTTACCAAATAATGGAAAATATTTTCCAGTTCATTTTCAGGTTTTAGTCAAATACCGGAAAATATTGTCATTTTTATGGAAAATGACTTCTTGAAAAATATTTTTCAAAAATGTTACATTTTTTGCGAAACAAACGGAGCATCAAACTTGACGATATGGACATCTTAACTTAGTCCAAAGATGAAATAACAAGTTAACTTTGAGCCTACCTTTGTGTAATCCTTTAATTCTTCCTATGCAAGTGCCTATACTAGTTTATGACTAAGCAGTCATAAGCAATGACGAAACTAAAAGTGAGGTGTCGCGACCTAAAATTTCTTCAGGCTAATGGATTGTTAAGACTAAGCCTAACTCGGACCCTCCCAAGCCCTACCAATTCGCAACTTAGGGTTTAAGTTTTTAACATGCAAAAGTTTTCATGCTTGGAGTCGCCACTAATCTATTTATGGTAGGTCGATTAGAAACCTAAATAAAACATAGGGAGATATGTTTTATTCCTACGAACCAGAGATTCTAAGCTCGGGGACTTGGTTACGCTAGATCTAGTCTAACGCCCTTTCGGTACCTTTTCTTTTCAAAAAAATGTTTTGGCAGACAGTTTAGATTCATTTTAACTTAGTCACTAGCATGTGAGGTGATCATGTGGGTGCGCAAACCACCAAAGTAACACCCAATAATCAAAACATTAAATAAATTGCAAGATTATGAGAATTACTTACCTCGAAGCAGCGTAAGCATCTGCATTGTTAGCTAGAAAATCACATCAACAATCCTAATATGATTTCTAATTAACAAGCAGTTTACTCAATATTTTTTAGGATTTTCACTTATTTAAATGAAAGCCAACCTATATGTAATGACGTGCAAAAATTAACATGCAATTAATGCAGCCTACATGCAAACTATATGACACGCGACGACGTGACCTAATTCTAATGACGGACAAATGATTTATTTTTGGTATTTTTCAATGAAATTCGAAATAAAAAATGCCAATTATCTAAGCATGCAATTTTAGACTAAAGAAAGCAAATTAACCTATTCTAGAACACTCTTTTTGGTATTTTTTTTTATCGAAATTTGAAATTAAAATCAACCCGAAATGAACTATCAAGGTTAGAATAATATCTAATTAAACTAGGAAACAAATTACCCTAATTCCTAATTTAAATTAGAAATTATCTTATCTTTCTAGCAAATCTTGGTTGTCCTATTCTATTCAAAAAAATGTTATCTAGATATATTCTAAACATGCAACATTATCTTCAAAGAAATCAATTCAAATTGCATCTAATCTTTTTGGCTTTTCTTTTAAAGAAACAAAATCAAATAAGAGATAAACACCACCATCAAATCAATATCCACAATCCGCAAAATTTTTCTTATCAAATTTAAATGAGGCAAAGAAATCAAACTAACGGTCATATCTATAGGGTTATAGATATCGACAGAAAGTTGATTGGTCAAATTCGGAAAGCAAATAAAATCTATTATCTTGTCCAAGTGATTATAGACAAGATAACGATTTTCCGTATCGCCGTGTATCGTACCTTAGGGATAAGGTCGAATAGTCGTCCAGATACGTTGCTAAATTAGGCAAAATTCCTAATTTTAAGTGTTTTAAATATTGCGGATATCCCAAATATTATCCTAAGATTTAGCAATCCACCAAATAATATCCACGAAATATTCAAACACCGAAAACTTAAGAAATTAAATATTTCAAAAAATATTCGGATAATGATCTTACCTAATTTGCGGATATCTTCCAAATTCGAACTCGGTGCCGGATCGGGCTTGCGGATCGGAACGGGGTGTCGACGGCAGGTAGCCGACAACGTCGGCGAACGACAACGGCGGTGGGGGGTGGGTCGGATAGGCTCCGGGCTCACCACGGTGGTAACGGCCTGCTGGACACTCGCTGAACTCCAAAGAGCCGCTGGGATATGGCAGATGTGGCGGCAGGAGCGGCAGTCATGGAACACCGGGAGACACGAGTAGTGACCACCAGGAAAAGAGAGAACTTTGCTGCTTTTTTTTTTTTTTTAACTTTTTGGCTGTCTCCGTAAGTTGTGTGGCTTCTCAGCAATCAACACATCGCAAGGCAAGGCAGGGACAGCAGCAACTCGCACGGGCAGGATGACAACGCTACGGGGACACTGCAGGACAACGCTTGGTTGCTGGACTGATCGCTGATGCTCCTGATTGCTGGGGTGAATCGAGCAGGAGGGATGCGACGAAGACTCGTCGCTGCTGGGTTCGCGATGAGAAGGCAGCAGAGTCTCCGGATCAGCAGCGACGACAAGATCGAGCAGGGAAGTCTGGGAGCAGCAGATCACCGAGAGTGCAGGGACGAGCAACAGGAGTCGTTGTTGCAGTTTGGATAGGAACAGCTCGTCATCGCTACTGGACTTGTTGTGATGATGGCTGCTGTTCACGATCTGGAGGCAGAGCAAAGATGATGACCAAGGAGGTGTTGGAAGACCTCTGACTTTTTCAGAACGTGTGTACAGTGGGGGATACTCTTTTTTTTCGTTTTCTGTGATGCGATCCCTGTTTTTGAGCACGTGAAGTCTTGCAAGAAGAAAGACAGCTCCTCTCTTTCTCAATGTGGCTGCCTATCTTCCGAGGCTTCCTCTCTCTCTTAAGATTGTCTTCTGAAAAAAACTTCTCCGAGTCCCCCCCCTTCTCTGTTGCTTTTGGGTCCTCTTATAAATGGGGGGCTTTCAAGGAAAGAAAACCAATCAAATTTCCTCACCTTTAGAATATATTATATTCTGGCTCTTTTCAATATTTTGGCCTTCTTGCTCACGCCCATGAATGCGACCAGATTCCACTTTCCTCTTTTGTATTTTATTGTTTCCCTTTTGTACGGAGATACAAAGGAAATCAAATCCTTTTTTTTTTTATTTCTTTTCTTATCCCTAACCGAGAGAATCGAGTGCCACAAGTGTTTGAAAGATCACGCCCATTTCGAAATATTGTGCTAATTAACCAGAATTTTAGTAACATTAATTTCTGAATTGGGCGCAATATATTTTCTGATCATGGGCTCAATTAATTTCATTTAAGCTCAAAACCATTCGCTGTCGGGTCCATTCGCCGTCAGTCCGATAAATATGCAAACTATATGGGCCTAATTAACTATTAATGGAATGCTCCTAATATCTATATACAATGCCATCTAATTATATTTTTTGTTTAGGGGTTAAAAAAATTAAACCCTAATTTTTTATGCAATTTTTCCTAAATGGCTAGTTAAAATTTAGGTGTCAACATGAGGTAACGTGAGCAATTCATCAATTGGAGATG